TCGTCGTCGTCGATGTCGCGGTTATTCGGGTAGGGTGAGAGCGAGGCAGAGGGAGGGACAGGCACGCTTTTGGTGTGCTTGTTTTTGACGGAGGCCTTCACATTCACAGCTCGCAAAATTCGCCGACCCAGTCGGCGTGTGCCAGAAGAGGCAACGATGTCGTGCTTAGTGGTTGACCATTCCAAGTCGGAGTGAGGGCAGGAGTAAAGATGCCTCATGGCATCCCTCTTCTCAGTCGCTGTCCTCCGCCATCGCCGTGCCATCCCGTAGGATTTCGGGTTTCTGGGTTAGGGATCGCCTGCAATGGGTGCTTGTCCGCGATCGCCACGATGGGAACAGGTGGTGCGTCGTCGCGTGACAGTGCTGGCCAACAGTGGCTGGCTGAGTTGGCTTGCGCCCATCGGCCCCGACCCCTATCCACCTCACGCGTTGGGCCGTGGGTACTTCAGCTTTTCTCCGACTTAAGAATGTGGACGGATCGTGAATGATTTCCTCCAACCGTAAAATCCTGATTGGTGCGGGGGGGAAGAAAAGACCTGGCGAGTCTCTCCAGGTACACTTGCCACTTGCGATATTGATGTTTCGTAAGTCTCTCCAGGTACACTGGCACTTCGCGTTGCTGTTGTTGCTTGATTGTTTGTACGTTGTTTGCTTTCCGCCTCCCCAGGACACCGCCGAGGGAACAGGTGGTGCTTCGCGTGAGAGTACCGGCCAATCGTGGCCTGCTGGGTTGGCTTGCGCCCATCGGCCCCAACCCCTATCCACCTCACGCGCTGGGCCGTTGGTGTTTCCATTCTCTTCCTTGTAAGGAATGTGTTGTAAGGAATGCGGAGGGATCGTGAAGGAGTTTTCCCCATGTCCAGAGGATGAGGTTTTTGTCCCCTCCTCCCTTCCTGCATTCGACAATGATGATTGTCATGATGTTGGCCACGGTATGGAGATAATTTAAGTTGAGTGTGACGGTGATGGTGCATTTTGGATGAGTATGATAGTGATGCTGCCAACGATGGCGATGATGATGATGATGATGAGGATGAGGATGATGAGGATGATGATGGCGATGAGCAGTTGATGAGGATGTCTCGAGCGGCCTGCTGGTTTTAACATTCTTAAGGGGGGTGGGGGGCGCCAGGGAGTGTTGCACGGCCTCCGTTCGCGCATGCTCAACATCCTTCGCGTTCGGGGCACAGTTTGGGGATGTTTCCTGCGAGGCGCCTCCAAGGAGGGGCGCCATGGGGTGTTGCATGGCGTCCGCTCCTGTCAAAATAGCGGGGATTGCTCGAGCGGTTTGTTTGTTTAGATGCTCAACATTTTTTGCCGTCAGAATCGGAACAAATGTTCGAGGATGTTTCGAGCGAGGCGCTCACTTTCGCCCCCCATGGAAACCTGATCTTGAGGATCTATCGGTAGGTTTGCCTGCTTTGGTGGCCAGACTCGCGGGCGCAGATTTTCCCCAGGATCCCGCGGGAGGCTCCAGGAGGCCACATGGGGCCCCAGGAGGTATCGGGAGGCCACAGGAAGACTCAGGTGGCCACAGGATGTCCCAGAAGTTTCCAGGAGGCCCCGGGGAACCCCAGGAGGCCTCAGGGCCACAAGAGGCCCCAGGAGGCCACAGGAAACGCCAGGATACCCTTGAAGGCAACAGGAGGCCCCGAAAGGCCCCAGGAGCAGGAGGCCTCAGAGTGCAACAGGAGTGGCTCCAGTCCTATGTGTTGAAAGTGTGTTCCGATAGATGGTTCTCGCCTGAAGCACGAATCCTTGATGCTATACGTATGTTTCTATATGTTGTCCTTCCCCCGCGAATGCAATCTTAAATGTGTTGCGTCTGTTCCTATAGATTGGGCTTCCCCTGGGGCACGCGGCCTTGGTGTTTTACGCGTGTTGCTATAGGTTGCCCGACTATTTCGGCTCCAGTCCGCAATGCGTTATGGACGTTTGTCCCTATATGTTGGGCCTCTCCTGGCGCACGAATCCTCCATGGAGGGTCCCGGAGACTCCAGGAAACGTCGGGAGACCACGCGAGACTCTAGGAGGCTTCAGGAGGCCACTCGAAGCCCCAAGAGGCCCCAAAAGGCAAGGCCCCAAGAGGCCCCTGGAGGTCCCATGAAGCCTTAGGAGGTTGCAGGAGGCCCCATGAGACGTGCTCGTACTACTGCGATTTATTCATATGCCTCCGATTCATAACCAGACCGCCACAACTCAAACCCGGTTATATTCGAACATTCTTGCGCGTAGACACGTCGGGCAGGTCCATGTGAATATATGCACATTTTGGGAGCTCCACGCAGTGACTATTTTGATCCAGGGGCACATTTTCTAATTATGGGGTTAATTTCGAAGGGTCGAAAACGCTCGCGCTGCAACGGGAGCACGTTTTGGACCAACCAGAGGCGCAGAAATGGGGCCAGCGCTTCAGCTGAAACAAGATTCGGGAGGACCGAAGAACATCTGATTGCCAAGAACACATGAATACAAGGAAATACTCCCACCGCTGCAGCGGGATCATGATCTGGAACGAGCGGACGCGCGGAAACCAAGCCAGTCGCTCAGTAGGAACACGATTCGGAACAAACGCAACGCCGAAAATGATGCCAGCGTTTCAGCGGGAACAAGAGTTTGAACATAGACCAGCGGAAACCCAGTTCCCAGGAATCCTGTGCGTAAAAACCAACACGGGGGGGGGACCCAACATCCTCCAGACGTCATCGGGGGAGAGAGGAGATTGTGATTCATATTGCGTAACCGTGGAGGGGGATGGGGAAAGAGAGGGGGACGGGGAGGCGGTGGTGAAGGAGGTGGAGGCGGAGGCGGAGGAGGATGATGAGGCGGAGGAAGAGGAAGAAGAAAAGGAGGATGAGGCGGAGCAGGAGGAAGAGGGGAGGAAGGGAAAAGGCCAAAGGGGATGAGGGAAGGAGGAGGGGCAGAAGCAATGGGGAAGATGGGGGGAAGATGGGGGGCAGGGGGAGGGGGAGGGGGAGGCGGGGGTGGAGGAGGCGGAGGCGGCGACAGAGGAGGAGGCTGAGGAGGAGGAGAGGAGGAGGAGGCGGAGGAGGCGGAGGAGGAGGAGGAGGAGGAGGAGGAGGAGAAGAGGAAAAGGAGGAGGAAGAGGAGGAGGCGGTTGGGGAGGGAAAGGGGGATGGAGAGGGGGAAGGACGAGGAGGGGGAAGGACGAGGAGGGGGAAGGGGGCGGGGGAGGGGGAGGGGGAGGGGGAGGAGGGGAGGAGGAGGAGGAATGGAAGGTGGAGAAGCAGGAGAAGGACCAAGTAAACGCAATATGCATCAACGACGGTACAATTTCCCCCTTGTGTTCCAAGCTCAATCTTCATCAGTCCCAACCGGCCTTCCTCCTCATTACAATCAGCGCTCTCATGACGCATAAGAACCCGATGGGTCTGCCATTCAGGCAAGAGCCCCGTTTGGAAAACGGACCTGGTTTGAATTCTGCTAGCGATCCGGGAGGAATGCGAGAAGGTATGAACATAAGTTCAAATGGGTGTCCAGCAGCATCACAGAGCAAGGATCGCACTCAGGTCAGTGCAGCTGTTGTGCATTTCCAAACTTCCAGTCATGAATTGCGAGGAGGTCCCAAGACACAACCCGACTTTGAATGGAGCCGCCTTCCTTCCGTGCAGTTGTTAAATTGTGTTCATATGTTGAAGCGCCTGGTCCTGCAATTCAAGGAAGTCTCTACTGAAAACCCCATGTTTAAAAGGATTTGTCCTTCACCCGCGTTACGGTTTCATGCTTTTCAGACGGACGTGCGCGCGGCGCTAAGGCGAGATACGCATCAAATTCGACAAATCGTCGCCTTCCATCCTTAAAGTTGATGCACGGTGTTTGAGCGAATGTGCCCTGCGCTAGTGCGGGAGCCATTGTTGATGCAGTTGGAAACTTTCAGGCGAATGTGCGCGGCGCTTCCGCGAGCGCCTCATTCTGAAAGTTGAGTAGCTCCATACTTGGACTGGTTGCAACACTATACCGAGGCGGCGCGAGGGCGAGAACCCCAGTTTGACAAGGAACCAACCGCCCTTCATCCGTGAAATGCTTGACACTGTCAAATCGAATGTTTTGTGCGGCGCTGAGGCATAGACCCCCCCATTCAACCAAGGAGCCGCCCTCTCTGCTTGAACTGCTGTAAGCGTAAGAATTTGACGCTATTGCGAGACTCATGTTGATAACGACTTGTGTGGCAAACTTTCAAGACGAGAGTGCGCGGCGCAACGGCGGGAGCCTCATTTTGAGCACGACGTGTGATCCATCCTTGTAGTTGTTGCAGGGTTACAGAGACTGTCCGCGGCGTTCAGGCGATAACCCGATTGTTTAAAGACACCACCCTGCATCCTTGCACATGCAGTGCACTTTTAGGACGAACGTGCGCGGCGCCAAGTCGAGAGCACAATGTTGAAAAGGAACCGCACTCAATCCATCAAGCTGTTGCACAGAACTTGGGAAGAATGTGCGCGACGCTCAGACGACAGCCCCATTTTCAGAAGCACCCCTCCATTCTTGAAGCCGCCAGAGCGTTTCAAACGAATGTGAGCATTATTATGGCGGGCCCCCCATTTTGAAATCCACCTGTGCTTGATCCATGTAAATGCTGTTAGCGTTTGGAGCGAATACTCGCGGCGCCAACGCGAACGCCTAGTCTGATCACCACGACTTACAAGCCTTAGGACCGCAAGTGATGACCAGCTCTCAGGCGAAACGCCCAGCCCACATTACAGACACACCTGGAGGCGCGACAGTGAGGAGGTTACGTATCTGCGAGCACGTTTGGGGAATATCGCGGGTGCACTTGCTCCGCATGCGTTCTCCCGCCTCCACCGGGCAAGCATTCCCGCAGCTGCGCCAGCAGCCGGGCGCACGAGCCACGGATGCGTGCGCAAGGACTTCGCGCGCGCGGGCATGCCGATTTGCCGTCGTGCGTCATAGATCGTGGGCACTGCTTGGAGGTGGCGGCACCCTCTCGATTCCTCTCCGCCCCTGCCTCCCAGCTCGAGGCCGAGACTAGCAGACGGCGCGAAGCTGGCGGAGGCCCCGGAGGGGGCGCGGAGAGGGGCCACCCAGGCAGGGAGGCGTAGCTCTGCACAGCTCCCGCGCGCAGGAGCGGACGTCGGTTTCTGCTTCGGCCCCCTCGCCAGACAGGCTTGTCCAGGGGTGCGTCTTGGGAACGTGTGGCCGTCGTGGGGGCGTCTTGACAGTTTCGGGCACCTTCGAGGATGCTGTGGAAGAGGAGGCACGCGACCAGATACGATGAGGGGGGGGTATCTGGCTGAAAACAGCCAAGACCGAGCCCAGCAGCACAGGGGCATGATATCACGCACTGCGTGCCTTGGGGGGGGGGCACCGCGGCGGACATAGATGTGGGCGTTGTGATGGTGAGAGCCGATGAGTGGTAGTTGTGGCGGTAGTGGGGGCGGCAATGAGAGGGACAGAGGCCGTGACAGTTGCTGTGACATCAGCAGTGGCCGTGAAAGCAGTGGCAGTTGCAGTGGCAGAGACACTTGCAAGTGTGGTGTCAGGCGACATGGCAGCGACAAAGGAGCGCCAGCAGAGGTTGAGTCAGGTGGCTGGACGGTCCCCTAAGGTTCTGCAAGGGCCACGTTCCCTGGATTTTGGCTGCTGCTGCAAGTCGGTGGGCTCCATTCATCGCTTCGTCGCCTTCGCATCCATTGGCCTCAACGCAGCGCCTGCGCAGCGCCTGCGCCTGCGCAGGCAGCCAGCGCCGCGCCGGCAGTCGGCACTTCGTATCCTGCTCGTGGCCTCATTTGTCTGCGGCATATTTTGCGAGCTGGATCGAGTGCGAGGCCCCCGTGGCCTGAAGCAAGGCAGAATCGCACGTTGCAAACTAAGATGCGACACCAGGATCTCAGGGTTGGTCCGACCCCCTGAACGTTTTCGGGCCAGAAGTTGGCTCTCCGGAGGCCCTTTGGAACGATCCGGGCACCCCTTGAACGCCCTCGGCGAGGCGCAGCCGATGGAACGCACCCCTAGGCTGAAAAGCCGCCGAGGACCGACGAAAACGCCAGAAAACTTCGAACTTCGAGGGCGACGACGACAACGACGATGACGACGTCGACGACGACGACGACGACGACGATGACGACGACGACGACGACGACGACGACGACGACGACGATGGGTGCAAGGGCTCAGACCGTTCTGTCTGACGCCCGCACGCGCTGCCCCAGCGGCAGCCGGGATGTCCCTCGCGCCCATGCATCCGGGGCTGTTTCGGCAGCGGCTGCTCGAGCTCGCCTCGGAGTACGAGGGATTGCACGCGGAGGCAGCACATCGGCTCTCAGGAGAGGAAAAGTTTGTGACTTCTTGGAGCCAGCTGGGGGTCTGAGGAGGTGACCTTGCATTATTTCTGGTCAGCAGGATGGGGGAGTGCGATTCGCAGTTTGGGTTCCCTACCATCCTGTGGTCTGGTGTCCTCGTTTTGAAGAGATAGCGCCCCGCGTCATCCCCTCCCGCTCTCCCCCCCTCCTGTCATCATCATCATCATCATCAGCAGCAGCAGCAGTAGCATCACCATCGTCATCAGCATCATGATCATGATCATGATCATCATCATCATGATCATCATCATCATCATCATCATCGTCATAATCATCAGCATCATCATCATCGTCATCATCATCCGCATCATCATCATCATCGTCATCATCATCATCATCAACAACATCATCGTCATCATCGTCATCGTCATCGTCGTCATCATCATCATCATCATCATCATCATCATCATCATCATCAACAACATCATTGCCGTCATCATCACCACCATCGTCATCATCACCGTCATCGTTATCATCATCGCCGGCATCGTCACCCTAATGGACAGTCATTTCGGCACACCCTCACACGCTTCGTGGTCCCAGTGGAGGCTCCTCCTAAGGTTCCGGTGGCGCAGTTCGCATGCGTCCCGGCCATTCAAATCTGCACACCCTCACGCGTTTCTTTGTCCTGTGGGGTGCTCCACCTAAGGTCCCAGTGGTGCAGTTCGCATGCGTCCCGGCCATCTCTCTGCGGCACACCCCTCACACGCTTCATGGCCCCATAATGTCTAAAAATTGTTGAACACATATTTGGGGGAGACAGTTAAAAGATGGTTTTCCCCAGCGCTGCAGTGCGCCTATAGAAAACAAAAGGGAGGCGGGGCAAACTGGATCGCTGGAGACGTCCCCGCGACCGCCCTGGCGCCCTGCGTGCAGGGGCAGATTCCTGCGCACCCCCTTCTTGGCGTCAGGCCACGCCTGCCACGCCCTGCGACCCCAGCGTGGATAGAGACTGCGCTCAGGGACCATTCCTTGTGCACCGCGCGCCCTGTCTGGGTTGCGAAGTGGCACAGAATATGCAAATGCGGCATGCCGCAAATAGATTTTACACAACGGGGGCGATGTTGAGCTCCAAATCCCAATGGCGAGAACCCAATGTAAAATTCATTCTCTGATCGGAAGACGGGAACACCGCAATGTGGATATACGACACTGAATGCAAAAATGCCAAGCGCCAGCGCGCGCGCTGCGGCGGCATGCCGCTGATAGGTTTTATACAACGGGACAAATTTTCGCGCGCGCGGCGGCGGCATGCCGCTGATAGATTTTATACGAAGGGACGGAATTTGATCTCCAAAACCCAATGGCGAAAACCCAATGTACAAATTCACTCTCTGATCGGAAGACGGGAGAATCCCCACGTGGATATACGACACCGGATGCAAAAATGCCAAGCGCCAGCGAGCGCGCGCGGCGGCGGCATGCCGCATATATATGCGATACAACGGGAGCGATGTTGCACTCCAAAACCCAATGGCGAAAACCCAATTCAAAATTCATTCTCTGATCTGAAGGCGGGAACATCCCCATGTGGATATACGACACCGAATGCAAACGTGCCAATCGCCAGCGCGCGGCGGCGGCGGCATGCCGCTGATATGTTCTATACAACGGGGGAAAATGTCGAACTCCAAAACCCAGCGGCAAATACTCAAACGTAAACATCTTATTCTCCGATCGGAAGACGCGGAACATCCCCATGTGGATATACGACACTGAATGCACACATGCCAATCGCCAGCGCGCGCGCGGGCGCGGCGGCGGCATGCCGCTGATAGATTTTCATACAACGGGAGCCATGTTGAACTCCAAAACCCAATGGCGAAAACCCAATGTAAAATATCATTCTCTGATCGGAAGACGGGAACATCCTCATGTGGGCATTCGACGCTGAATGCGCAAATGCCAATCGCCAACGCGCGCGGCGGCGGCATGCCGCTGATAGGTTTTATACAACGGGAGCGAGGTTGAACTCCAAAACCCACTGGCGAAAACCCAATGTAAACATTCATTCTCTGGTCGGAAGACGGGAGAATGCCCATGTGGAGACACGACACTGAATGCACACCTGCCAATCGCCAGCGCGCGCGCTCGCGTGCGCGGCGGCGGCATGCCGCTGATAGATTTTTCATACAACGGGAGCCATGTTGAACTCCAAAACCCACTAGCGAAAACCCAATGTAAAACATCATTCTCTGATCGGAAGACGGGAACGTCCTCATGTTGGCAGTCGACGCTGAATGCGCAAATGCCAATCGCCAACGCGCGCGCGCGGCGGCGGCATGCCGCTGATAGGTTTTATACAACGGGAGCGAGGTTGAACTCCAAAATCCACTTGCGAAAACCCAATGTAAACATTCATTCTCTGGTCGGAAGACGGGAGAATCCCCATGTGGAGACACGGCACTGAATGCACACATGCCAATCGCCAGCGCGCGCGCTCGCGCGCGCGGCGGCGGCGCACCGTTGATAGATATTATAATGCGAGAGCGATGTTGAATTCCAAAACCAATAGCGAAAACCCAATGTAAACATTCATTCTCTGATCGGAAGGCGGGAACATCTCCATCGGCATTCTCCCTGGTACTGATGTATATCCAAATGGCATCCATTGAGTTTTTTCTATATATATAAATTAATTTCAGGGGGGGACATATACAACACATAGTTATTCGGGTGCGAAGTAATGGCGGTCGGGGTCCGGGGGGGAGGAACGGGGGGGTCATCATTCCCAACCAACCTGTGTTGTTGGGTCTTCATTTTGAAGAAACGGCTCCCGCGTCACCTCCTCCCGCTCCCCCCTCCTCCCCCCTCTTCTACTCCCTCCTCCCTGCGTCTCACCCACGCAGTGCAGCGTTTCGTGGCCCCATAGAGAGCTCAACCGAAGGCCCCAGTGGCAGGGTTCGCATGGCGGCTTCGGGCCTTTTCGGCACACCGCTCACGAGGATCGTGGCCCCATAGGGAGCTCCACCGAGGGCGCCTGTGGCAGGGTTCGCACGGCGGCCTCGGGCCATGTCGGCACACCCCTCACGAGGATCGTGGCCCCATAGGGAGTTCCGCCGAAGGCTCCAGTGGCAGGGTTCGCATGGCGGCTTCGGGCCATTTCGGCACGCCCCTCACGAGGATCGTGGCCCCGTGGCCCCATGGGGAGCTCCACCGAAGGCGCCACCGGCAGGGTTCGCATTGCGGCCTCGGGCCATTTCGGCGCACCCCTCACGAGGACCGTGGCTCCATAGGGAGCCCCACCGAAGGCGCCAGCGGCAGGGTTCGCATTGCGGCCTCGGGCCATTTCGGCACACCCTCACGAGGATCGTGGCCCCATAGAGAGCTCCACCGAAGGCGCCACCGGCAGGGTTCGCACGGCGGCCTCGGGCCATCTCAGAGTCACGAGGATCGTGGCCCCATAGGGAGCTCCACCGAAGGTCCCAGTGGCAGGGTTCGCATGGCGGCCTCGGACCATTTCGGCACACCCCTCACGAGGATCGTGGCCCCATAGAGAGCTTCACCGAAGGCCCCAGTTGCAGGGTTCGCATGGCGGCCTCGGGCCTTTTCGGCACACCCCTCACGAGGATCGTGGCCCCATAGAGAGCTCCACCGAAGGCGCCAGTGGCAGGGTTCGCACGGCGGCCTCGGGCCATTTCGGCACACCCCTCACGAGGATCGTGGCCCCACAGGAGCTCCACCGAAGGCGCCACTGGCAGGGTTCGCATGGCGGCCTCGGGCCATTTCGACACTCCCCTCACGAGGATCGTGGCCCCATAGGGAGCTTCACCGAAGGCCCCAGTTGCAGGGTTCGCATGGCGGCCTCGGGCCTTTTCGGCACACCCCTCACGAGGATCATGGCCCCATACGGAGCTCCACCGAAGGCGCCAGTGGCAGGGTTCGCATGGCGGCTTCGTGCCATTTCGGCACACCCTCACGAGGATCGTGGCCCCATAGAGAGCTCAACCGAAGGCGCCAGTGGCAGGGTTCGCATGGCGGCCTCGGGCCATTTCAGTACACCCCTCACGAGGATCGTGGCCCCACAGGAGCTCCACCGAAGGCGCCAGTGGCAGGGTTCGCATGGCGGCTTCGGGCCATTGCGACACACCCCTCACGAGGATCGTGGCCCCACAGGAGCTCCACCGAAGGCCCCCAGTGGCAGGGTTCGCATGGCGGCTTCGGGCCATTTCGACACAACCCTCTCGGCAGGGTTCGCATGGCGGCCTCGGGCCATTTCGGCACACCTTCACGAGGATCGTGGCCCCATGGGGAGCTCCACCGAAGGCGCCAGTGGCAGGGTTCGCACGGCGGCCTCGGGCCATTTCGGCACATCCCTCACGAGGATCGTGGCCCCATAGGGAACTCCACCGAAGGTGCCGGTGGCAGGGTTCGCATGGCGGCCTCGGGCCATTTCGGCACACCCCTCACGAGGATCGTGGCCCCATAAGGAGCTCCACCGAAGGCGCCAGTGGCAGGGTTCGCATGGCGGCCCCCGGCCATTTCGGCACAACCCCCTCGAGGATCGTGGCCCCATAGTTGTGCTGCTTCAACAACTGCGCCTGGGCGTCGTACTCCGCCTTGTCGACGTGCAACGCCACCTCCCCCCTCATGGCTCTCAAGGCCCTCTCCTGCTTCTGCTTCTCGGTGAGAGGGACGCCGTCCTTATCGTCGTCGGCGCCCGCGAAGACGGCCACGAACGTGTCCGTTCCCTGAGCATGTCGGGCTCCGGCGGGAAGCCGTGGCCACATAGGGAGCGCGGGTGAAGATGGTATTCACAATTGCGGTATTCACAATTGCATATGGTTGGGTCCGTCGCCAGGCTAATTGTTTTAACCGGTTTTGGACACTAGGGAGCTCCACCGAAGGCGCCAGTGGCGCAGTTCGCATGCGTCCCAGCCACCCATTTCGGAACACCCCTCACACGTTTCGTGGCCCCATAGGGCGTTCCATCTAAGGTCCCAGTGGCGCAGTTCGCATGCGTCCCGCCACCTATTTCGGAACACCCTCACACGCTTGCTGGCGTTATGGGGCGCTCCACCTACGGTCACAGTGGCGCATGTCGGATGCGTCCTGGCCACACACTTCGGCGCACCTTCACACGCAGGCCCCAGTGGCGCAGTTTGCATGCGCCCCGGCCACCCATGTCCGCACCCCATCGCACGCTTCGTGGCCCTGCAGGGAGCTCCGCCGAAGGCGCCAGTGGCGCAGCCCGCGTGCGCCCCGAGGCTTGGGGAGCGGCCCGCCCAAACTTCGCGCCTTCAGTCGACTGTTCCACTTTTTGGTCTCGCGCCGCGGACGACCCGCGCGCGGCTCTACCTATGGCCCTAGCAGCAGCGCCCGCATGGCGGCCCCGCCCCAGCTCGGCACACCCTTCACGCGCTTCGTGGCCCCATGAGGAGGTCCACCGAAAGCGATACTAACAACGACAGTATTCACAAGTGCATTTTGTCGGGTCCTTCGCCTCGGTGAATCCGAAAAGGTGCGTCTTCCTTTTTCGGCCTCCAGGAGCCTTTTTGGGGGACTCAGGTGCGTACGAAACGGATCTGGGGCTAAGAAGCCATACTAGACGGATCTCGGGAAAGATCCAGGGACCGATCTTGGGCGGATGTAGCCGCATATTTTTTGTTTTGGCAATTTTCTCGAGCTCTATCCGGTTCGGAACCCTCAGCTGCCTCCAACCAATACCGCTGCGTGTTCTGGAAAGCTGTCGTCGCCACGGCAGGATGTTCCAGATTCAGGTAGAACGCACCCCGGGAGGGATTGTTCTGGGGCCTTAGCTCCCCCAGGTTCCGCCGTATCAGCGGATGCTTCAACTGCCCCTCGCTCGCTGAGGCTCGAGGGACAAACGACAGCACGAACATGAATTTTCGGGGTTCCGCGCGAAGTTTCCGGGTCGGTTCCTGGGGCCCGATCCGACACATCAAAATTGTCGGGACGGAGATATTCGCTGTTTTCGGCCTCGCAAGGGGCTCCCGCCAGGCCCCAGGACGGCAAAATACGATTCAGGATGGATGAAACATTTGTCCCTGTGTATGGTCTGGAACTCCAGGGACCGCGCATCCAAAACATCAAGACGTCGGATGTCTGGGGCGCCTCTGGCGCCGTCCTTGGCCCGCAGAGCGCGCCAGGGAGGGGGTCCAGCGCCGATCCTCGAATTTCGCGCGAACCTCCAAAACATATAGTCAAAATCCATAGTAAGGATGCGCTGCTTCGTCATGGCTGCCCTCGCACCCTTGCTTTTGTCGGCCCATTCTGGGCCAATGTGGAGTTCCAAGGAGCTCTAAGTTGTATATGGGACTTCTACGAGTCTTGCATCCTTACCCTGCGTCCTTACTATAGACTCCTGCGTCTTCTTTTCTACAGTCATTGACTTTCTGGTTACGCAGCTTTTTGTGCCTTCGCAGGTGCCGGCGGCGCCGGCCGATCCGACCGAGGGCGGGGTGGCGGCCAGCCTGGGCGAGGGCGAAAGAGCCGGGTCTGGCAGTGGGAGCACGATGCCGCCAGCTCAGGCCTCGGTGCGATCGAAGTGGGTACGGAACGAACGGGTGCGAATTGGAGGCGTTTGGGAGATTGAGGTGGCCCAGCATTGGTTCCAGCCAGCAGGAAAGGCGGGCAGGTTCGAGGCGCTGGGTTCGGACAGGTTTTAGCTTTCCCTGCCTCCATGGGCCGCTTTCGGGGCCCAGGACCGACACAAAACGGCACCTGGGTGAAAAACTGCACCAGACGGACCTTGGGAAGGGCCCGGGCTCGGATTTTGATAGATGTTGCTTCGTTCGCTTCCTCCTGGCCGATTTTTTATGGTCCCAGCCAATTCAGACCCCCAGGCCGCCTCTAAGGTACGAAGGCCGTCTCGGCGGCGCGCCCTGGGGGAAGCGAGAGGGGGCGGGCCTTCTCTGAAGGCCCAGAAGCCCTCCGACTTCTGAGGAGCTCCGTACCTGTTCTGAGCGCCCTGTTCTGACCTGTACTGGTCCCAGCCCCTACTACTCAGAAGCCCTCCGACTTCTCTCTGAGTAGTAGTAATAGAAGTAGTAGTGCTAGCCGTACTTGTTGTAGCAGTAGTAGTAGTAGTAGTAGTAGTAGTAGTAGTAGTAGTAGTAGTAGTAGTAGTAGTAGTAGTAGTAGTAGTAGTAGTAGTAGTAGTAGTAGTAGTAGTAGTAGTAGTAGTAGTAGTAGTAGTAGTAGTGAAGTCGTAGTAGTAAGTAGTA